GAACTTTGCCCAGAAAATTCTAAACAATTTGAAAATGTAGCTTTGGGTGCAAATACCTTTGCCCACCATGTTGCAGACATTGGTGAAAACATCGTGAATCAAATAGCGAAAAATGCAAGCACGTTTCACTATTTTTTAATTGGATGAGTCGCTGGACAGCTGTTTCACCTCTCAACTGCTTGTGTTCATTAGGGGCGTGGATGAAGACATGAACATAACACAAGAGCTGGCTTCCCTACAAAATATGTATGGCACTGTTACCGGAGAGGATATATTCAATTAGTTAAAGAAAACATTTGCTGATTATAACTTGGACTGGACTAACCTCAGTTACCTGACTGTTGAGGGGGAAAAGGATATTAATGGCATAAAGAAAGGCTTGGTTGGACAGGCGAATGAGAAAATTTTCTACAGCCAATGCTCTTGCACTCTATTATTCATCAGCAAGCTAAATATATGGAAATTAGCAGTGTACTGAATCCTGTGGTGAAGATGGCGAATGTAATAAAGTCACATGGGCTCAACCATAGATATAGTATATGTGAAGAATAATATAAGAGCAAACTTGGACCTCGATTGTTTTGTCGGCCCCCGACAGTGTTTCTTTCAGATTTTTTTCTAGGGGGGGGGGGGGCGGCACTTAAGATTTGTATATATTTATATATAAATTATATTTTGTTGGGGGGTGGACGATGGACGTTTATTTTTTTTGGGGGGGGGGGCTCCATAGCACTGAAGCTATGCCTTTAAGAAGTTCTGGCCCCCGAACTGATAGTTAATAGTTAATGCGGCCCTCGTTCTGAAAAGTTTGGAGACCCCTGCAGTATAGAGCAATGTAAAGTATTGCTAAAGCCATGAATGAAAAGAAGTACTTAATTGCTGAAGCCACGGATGATAAATGTACTGTATTGCTGAAGCCATGAATGAAAACTGTAGCGCTGAAACCATGGATGATAATTCTACACAAGCGGTCTGTGTGAAGAGAATGTCAATTAGCTGGCTCGCTCTAATGGACAGGACCCAATTAGACCCACTCAAGTGAAACCCACAGCAATCTTGGGTGTGGGGTATAAATGGACTAACTTAGTGGCCGCTAAACTAGACAATGTTCTCATTGACTAGACACAGCGGGGGACGCATTCATCAGCTAACAGCTCATGGGGAAACCTCGTACCTTCATCAAGGTTAGTGTTAGGTTAGGTTAGGTTAGGTTAGGTTAGGTTAGGTTAGGTTAGGTTAGGTTAGGTTAGGTTAGGTTAGGTTAGGTTAGGTTAGGTTAGGTTAGGTTAGGTTACGTTTGGTTAGGTATAATAAATTTAGTGTTTTATTTTGAAACAAACAAAAGAGAAGCAACTCTGTATTTTTACTTCCTTAATTTTGTTTATTTTCTGCTTCCCTTTTATTTATAGTATTTTAAAAGCGTGTAAAAGGTTTGCTACTTTGCTTGCAGTAAAATGTGAATATTGTTATAGGCTTTGGGCTTTTATGAGTTTCAAATGTATGTTTCAATTTTTTTTTACCTTTTGCCTGAAGTTTAGCAAAACTAGTTTAGATTTTTACTTTCTCGTATACAAAGTATAGAAGAAGAATGGTAATCGTGTAAAGAAAAAAAACTTAGTTTTGCAATGTTGTTTGTAGGTCTGTGTGTGTTTGTCTGTGTGGGTATATGGATGTGCCTGTGAACACAATAACTTGAGTACGGTTACAGCTAGGTTGATGAAGTTTTCTATATAAACTTTTCGGCGATATCCAGTAACCGGAAGTGCAACTTAATCTACTTTTGGTTTTCGAATGCCTATAACTAGTAGATAGATAGACGAAATTTCATGTTTAAATACAAGATATAATTTTCTGCCTTCTTTCAAATTTTGAGTCATTTCCGTTTACCGGAAATAGTATTTCCGTTTTCTATAAAAACTGCATTTGAATTTATAAAATACTAGCCTTCCCGGCCAGGCCATCCACTAGCCTCTGTGAAAACCTTATCTGTATAGGACCATTACTTTTGGAATCAACCCTAACCATAAACAACATTAACCAAATAACAAACACAAAAACAAACGCAAAAATACCGCAAACCCAAACCCAAATAAAAATACAAACGCAACCGCAAACCAAAAACGAAGTAAAAACAAGCACAAACACAAAACCAAACACAAATGTAAACACAAAAGCAAATGCAAACAAAAACGCAAACATAAAGCAAACGCAAGCACAAACGTAAATACAAACAAAACCACAAACACTAACTCAATTACAAAGCAAACACAAACAAAAACAAAAACGTAAAAACAAACACAAATACAAACAAAAATACAAACACAATCCTTGACGCAAACAATAAAGCAGAACATAAACACAAACATAAATGCAAATATAAACGCATAGTGCTCATAGTCTATCCAGGGACGCCAAGATCTCGCCGTGCCGGGCCTCCGGTGGATCCGCCTTATTGAACTTAGTAAAGGACTATTATACCCCAACTTATCCATAGTCTTTTGCACTCACTTAAACTAACATGGGCACCATATCGCTCACGGAAAGGCCCAGGGCGCTAATTAGCATGCTGTTGGGGCGCCGGAGGACGCCCTGGATTGGATTTAATGAAGGACATTGGTAACCCTTCTATCGCACTCTTTAACACGAAATTATGCTCCATAGGGCTCACGCGATAGCCCTGGGCGCTAAATCAAACATTGCCGGGACGCCGGCTGAAGCGTCTAATTCAATTTAGTAAACGACTATAATACCCCATGCTTGTCCGCAAATGGAAAGATTGAATTAAACATAGATGGAAGTTTAGATGCGGCTTCTAAACAGTTATTGATTACAAATAATAATTAGTAGTTTTTTTTTTCTACAGAGATTAATTTTTTTAACATATATCAAAGAAATTACTTGGTGAAAAGGTAAGTAATTTTCAGACACAATTAGAATTTGTGTGAAGTGTGGTGCATTTTCTTTTATTTTATTTCATTCCGAATGACGTTAATTAAACCTATAAGTTTGAAAAGATACTTGTTTTTAAAAAACAGTACATATTTATTATTTTTTAACCGTTAAGTTAGATATTAAACACTTTAAGAATAATACACTGTGGCGATGAAGTCGAGTTTTTTTTTTATTTTATGCTTGACTTCCCACGGTCCTTCCGCCACATTCAGAGCCACATAATCCGTGTGAGCTCTATACATTAGACTAGCCGTCCCGTCCAGGTCCTACACTGGATTATGTGAAAAACATATATGTAAAGGACCATGACTTGTGTGTTTAGTAAGCAACATATACCCGGTATGGACGTTTGACAATAAAACACATAACCCTACACAATAACATTAAACTTAAAACTAGCCACAACCAACCAACATACAAACTCAAAAACAAACGCAAACTCAAACACAAACACAAACCCAAATATAAACACAAACAAAACACAAACTCAAACACGAACGCAAACGCAAACCTACAAACAAACAATAATGTAGAACATAAAGACAAACTAAAATTGCAAACATAAAAGCATAGTGCTCGCAGTACAGCCCTGGGAACCAACTCGCACCCTGCCAGGGGCGGAACCACCTGATTCAATATAGTGAACGATTATAATAATCCATCTTATCCGCAAATGGAAAGATAAAAGTTAACATAGAGGAGATTTATGAGCGGCTAGTAAACTGTCATTGATTAAATATAATAATTAGTATACAAAATATTCTGTGTATAAAATAAATAAAGACAGTATTTAAATTACCTGTTTTATCTACCACATTGCACTATGATGATGATGATGATGATGATGATGATGATGATGATGATGATGATGATGATGATGATGATGATGATGATGATGATGATGATGATGATGATGCACGTTATCAATCCATGATAATTAAAATCTATATAATTTTGTTTTTCCAAGAAAAAAAAATAATATGAAAGTATCTACCCCCCCCCCCCTTTAAATGGATCTTAGGGAAGTAATTATTTTTGTGTGATATATCAAGGAAAAGAATTGGTCATAAGGTAAGTAATTTTCAGACACAATTAGAAGTTTTGTGGAGGGTGATACATTTTCTTTCAATTAAAAAAAAAATACATTAATTAAAATGATAAGTTTAAAAAATGAAATTTCTTTTACAAAAATAACCATATTAATTTTTTAAATCAATTATTTAGATAATAAACACTTTAAGTAGGCTATATTACACTCTGGCTATCAAGTCTAGACTTTTACTACATGCATGACTTCCCACGGTCCGTCCACAGCGTCCGTTTCAACACAAATATATATATATATATATATATATATATATATATATATATATATATATATATATATATATATATATATATATATGTATGTATGTATGTATGTATATATATATATATTTATATATATATATATATATATATATATATATATATATATATATATATATATATATATATATATATATATATATATATATTAGAGTAATATTCTTTTTTAAAACTAAGCAATGAAGAGAAACCGAGTTTGCACACCTTATTTTAGTCTAGTCTTATGCCATTTTATTTTCTCTCTTTGATTGTTATATATGCAATCGATGTTCATATCTTTGATGCTGTGTAAAACTATCAAACAAATTATTATTACTTAATTAAATGTTTAAAACAATTGATTAACAAAAATAGAGTAATATTTCATTAATTATTATACACATATTATTTGATGACTAATTAATGCGAAAAAAAAAGTTCTTCGGTGGTCTATTCTATTTTAAAAAGTTTAAGCAATTAAAAGTTGATTTAAAATTATGTCTATATCCCGAGGTGTGTTATATAAGAATATTCTAGCACGTTTAGGGGATATCACTTCAGCTTGATTTAAATATTAATTACTGCATTTTGTAACATCAATTTCAATTGCTTCATAAATCTTATCAACACAATTCATATTTCAGGCATAAATCTCAAAAAATTCTAAATTACCAATATTTAAGATTGATTGTTTAAAAAAAATGGTACGAGAAAACGACCCAAGAGATACTCTAATAAACCAAGAACTGCAATTTGTCACTGAGATTGTAAATTATGTTTTCCTTGGCGGAAGTTTGTCCGTCTTTGGGATAATATCCAACATCATCAACATGGTTGTGTTCTACAAGCAAGGACTTAAAACTACAACAAACATCAGCCTGTTTGCCTTGTCATTATCTGACCTACTGACTCTGGTCACTTTGTTCGAATACTCCATCTGGATGAACCCGTTGGTGGAGTTCTCGGATACACCAGTCAACACCAGGGAGGTCCAGTACCTCATCACTGGCTGGCCTAACGTCTGCTTCACCAGGATCACGTGTCTCATCATGGCCTTCATCACCGCTGAAAGATACGTCTGCATAGCTTTTCCTCTTAAAGTAAAACAGATCATTACCCCGAAAGTAACAACAATCACCATTTGCATCATCTTCGTCGCCTCGATAATCATGGTACTGCCCAGCTACTCAACCATCTACTACGACTGGAAATTTTATCCGCGAAGCAACGTAACAAAAATCGGGATTCACGTGATCAACCATGGGACAGTGGATAAATATTCGTTTCTCATCAACGCTTTTTTAGGCTTGATATCTTTACTGCTCGTCATATTTTTCACAGCTTTAATTATCTGGAAGCTCCAGCAGAAATCTCAGTGGCGAAAACAGAACACCAGAGAAGCGAACGATTCTACATCAAGTCGAGACACGAAAGCTATTATACTGTCCCTGATGATTTCTATCATTTTAATTGTTTGTACAACACCAAGCATTGTATTTTCTTTTGTGTCGCTTTACATTGAAGGAATCTCCATCATAGGATTTTACCAGAATTTATTTTTCTTTATTTGGTCCTTTAACTTTGTCCTGGGTGGGTTTAACTGTAGCATAAACATTTTTCTCTACTATAAGATGAATTCTAAATACCGGAAAGTTTTTTTACAGATGTTTTCTTGCTGTTGTAGGCTTGTAGGTAACTAAAAACTAAGAAATAGGTTTCATGTATAGTATCCATCCACTCCTTCCATCCACCCGCTCCATGCGATCTCCTACCGATCTTTTCAGTTGTTTCCACTCTCCATTCTCCCAGACCCCATTCTCCCAGACCCCATTCTCCCAGACCCCATTCTCCCAGACCCCATTCTCCCAGACCCCATTCTCCCAGACCCCATTCTCCCAGACCCCATTCTCCCAGACCCCATTCTCCCAGACCCCATTATCCCAGACCCCATTCTCCCAGACCCCATTCTCCCAGAACCCATTCTCCCAGACCCCATTCTCCCAGACCCCATTCTCCCAGACCCCATTCTCCCAGACCCCATTCTCCCAGACCTGCATCACCCCGGCAAACTATTGAAACGAGTGTCATAGTCTACCCAGCGATGCTCCACATTTTCATTATCCGGGTTACAGTCTTGAAAACAATTGGTCTGGTTTTATTTTGTGTTTGTTGTTTCAAACAAAACTATCATTCAGGTGGTGTTGGTTCAAACAGACCTGAACTAAATTCATTAAAATCCCATCTACTTTTCTAATCAAGGATTTTGTAAGTTTTTACCTTTTCCTGTATGCTTTTCTCAGAGACACTACATAAATCTATCAAGTAAATTAGAATTGTGTGTTCACAGAGGCCGCTTGTATAAGAGTAAGGCTGTAAAATTAAAGTTTTAACCGTGTACATTCCTAGCTTACTGTAATGTTAAGACACTAGTATTGTATTGCCTAGATTATGAAAACAATTTTTGTACTTATAAAATAAACCAAAGAAAGTTATTTCTTATCTTCGAGTTGAAAATGAACATCTAACTGCATGTTGTGTGTTTTGTACTCATCATTGTCAATGGCTTGCGTGTGTTTACGTTGTTAGAGACTTTTTATTCAAGGTTTATTTCCATGGTCATCAAATGTAATGGCCAAGTGTGAATTATTTTCTTTTAATTTACACGATATATTATATGACATATATAGCGATAAATATTTCAGCTACACAACACTGTACTGTCCTATAGTCTTATCTGGCACATGCTGATATTATTATAACAGATCAAACATGTAGCAAAATGTCCATTACCAAATATTGTTAGGTAAAAAGGAAACAATTTTTACAACGAAAAAACGGGTTCTAGAACATGGTTTGTAAAAATAAAATAAAAATAAAAATACTGTATTTTCGAGGCACTGTCATATGCTCACAGAGTGTATTTCGAGAAATATTAAAAAGATACCCAGCATGTAAATATAGTGCTGGTGTTGGGGGAAGGATGTTGAAAGAGATGGTAGGGAGAGACAGGCACCAGTGTTTGTGAGCTATCAATTACTTTTAAATTTTGGCTGTTGCTTTGATTTTTACTTTCTCGTATATACGAAGTATAGAGAAAGTCTTGTAATCGTGCAAAAAAAAAATCGAGATTTTTACAAATCTCGACGTTTTACACCTCACTGATAAGGAAAAACATAATTTTGCAATCTTGTCCGTATGTCTGTGTGTCTGTGTGTGTAAACACGATAACTTGAATACCGTTACAGCTAGGTTGATGAAATTTCATATATAAGTATTTTATCAAAATCATAGATCCGTATCAACTTTTGAGTGATTTCCAATAACCGAAAGTGGTACTTTTTCTACTTTGAATTTTTCAAAAAGCCTATAACGAGTACTATTTCAGATAGATAAATGAAATTTTACATGTTAGTAAAAGATCTAACTCTCTGCCTTCTGTCAAATTTTGAGTAATTTCCGTTGATCGGAAGTAGTAATTTTCATTCTTTCCGATTTCTCAAAAAACGCATGTGAATTTATAAAGTACTAATAATATTGCGTACTATTATACACATCTTTATTCGGCGTCCGCTTGGTGCGCAATTCTTTTTTTGTATGAGATTCTAATCTATTTTAAAAGTTTAAGAATTTAAAATGGATTAAAAATCATAACTAAATTCCGAGTTCCCATCCCTTGTTATTTTATATAAGAATATTCGAGAAAGTTTAGGGGAGATCACTCCCGGTTTATTGTTTGATATTTTCTGTACTCAGATGATAGGCAGCATCAAGTAGACAGTGTGCTGACGGTTGTATTTACAACTGTTTTAGTCTCATCACCCTCACAGCAAAAAAATTTCCTGAACGCGAGTCTGAATTTCGAAATACATTTGTAGTAGAGGAAAATGTTGACCGAGCTATTTATAGCATCGAGTGCAAACAACCAGGCCGCCATTGTGGAGAACAGGCTCTGTTGCAGACCCAGCAGGCTGAATTCTGGGAAAATGACGGCGGCCATCAGGTTCACACAATCTGGCACCACGGTCACCAGAAAAATGGCGGCGATGAAAGCAACCAATCGGATGATCCTCAGGTCACGTGATTTCAGTTTATACGTTGACCCGGAACTTCTGGCCTGGCGCCATTTGAAGCTGTTTCTCATGACGACGATGATGATGCTGGAACAGATGCTGGTGATGATGACGGAGCCGAACATGAAAATGGTGTTGAGGACGTAAAAGATGGCGTCCATGGTGACTTTGTCGGCCGGCACTAGCCGGGTTGTCAGCGTCTTGTTCAGGTGAGGCAAGTACACGGCGCCGATGGCGTTGCTGGTGAAGAGTGGAGTCACTGACGCCAGCATGACGCAGGCGATGGCCACCATGATGAGGAGGGTGCGTCTAGGGGTGATTAAATTCTTGACCTTGAGGGGCAGGGCGATACAGAGGCACCTTTCGAAGGTCAAGTAGGTCGTGATCCACCAGGAGATGCGGACAAACAGGATATGTGTCGCTCCTGGGTGAAGCAAAAAGTATGGGTCACCGGTGGAGAAACTTTTAAAACTGTCACTAAAAGTCATTGATCTTGTAAAATGTCTAAAGAAATCGTTTTAAACTTGTAAAATGTCTAAAGAAATCGTTTTAACCTTGTAAAATGTCAATAAAACTTCTTATAAATAATAATAAAATAAAAATTATCACATTTCTAAAATCTCACGAATATACATTATGCTGGTTAATGGCAAGAAAAGCCTACATTTGTGAAATTACAAGAAAAATCCTATACTTGTGTAAATGTCAAGTAAAGTCTTTACATTTTCAAAATGTCCGGAGAAATCTTTATTTTTGTGTGAATCAACATTGAACGTGAAGAAAATATTAAATAAAAGCACATTGCTTAAACATTAATCGGATCAATGTCAAATAATATTTTCGCTTAAATGCCTAGAAAAAAAATGGATTCATTTTAATAGAAGTAGGGTTAAATAAAACGAATCAATTAAAATGTTTAATAATTATGCCAGCGGATGTAATTTACACTGAACGGACTGTTTACCAATATTTTTTAATCAATAAAAGTTTAAAAGCCAAATCATAAATGTCCGTTATGTTTACTTCTATATTTTAGTTTGCGGACATGCTGGAGTTATTATAGAAGTTCACTAAATTGAATCAAGGCGCGTCAGACGGCTCCCCAACAGTGTGTTGTTAGGCGCCCCGGGCCTCTCCGTGAGCGATATGGCACCTACGTTCGTTTCAGTGCAACAGCTTATAGATAAGTTGGGGTATTATAGTAATTTACTAAATTGAATCAGGCGGTTCCGCATGCTCCGCGGCAGTGTTTATTCCAGACTTTTTTCTCCGGGGGGGCACTTGAAATCTTCGGGGGGGCGGTAAACTTTCTTTGGGGGGGGGGGGGTGGACACTGTTAAAAGTATATATTTTCTATATAAATTATATAAATTTCATTTCGTTCGGGGGGGGCGGTAAAAAATTTTCGGAGATGCCTGGAAGAAACTTTGCTCCGCGGTAGGATGCGAATTGGCGCCCCAGACCAGATTTGCATTGTGTTCGTCTTTGTATTTGTATTTGCGTTTGTGTTTTCTTTAGTGTTGTGTGTGCGTTGGGTTTATGTTAGCGTTTGTGTTTGCCTTTGCGTTGTGTTTATATTTGTGTTTGTGTTTGCGTTCGTATTTTCTTTTGTATTTGTGTTTGTATTTGAGTGTGCATTTACGTTAGCGTTTGGGTTTGTGTATTCGTTTGTGTTTTATTGCGTTTGTGTTTGCATTATATTTGTCTTGTGTTTGTGTTTTCGTTTGTGTTTGTCTTTTCGATGTATTTGTGTTTGTTTTGTATTAGCATTGTGGTTATGTTTGTGTTTGCATTTGTGTTTCCATTTAGGTTTGCCTTTTCCTTTATGTTTGTGCTTGCGTTTGCGTTAGCGTTGGTGTTTGTATACTCGTTTTTTTTTTTGTTTTTTTTTTTGCTAGTTTGTAAATATCAAGCAGTCTTTACACGTAAAGTCGATAACTTTGAACGATTTCACTTACCTCCAGTCACAGTGGATATTTCTATGGGTAAAAACGGAAGGTCAAGGTTATAGAAGAGCGGGTTCATACAGATGCTCTCCCAGATCAAAGACAGGAGGCTGAGGAGGTCAGCGACGGACAGTGCTAGCAGGCTGATGTTGACCGAGTCCTTGAACCCCTGACATGGACCAATGCCACAAGTTAACCTTGAACCCCTGACATCGACCAATGTCACAAGTTAACCTTGAACCCCTGACATTGACCAATGATACAAGTTAACCTTGAACCCCTGACTTGGACCAATGCCACAAGTTAACCTTGAACCCCTGACATGGACCAATGCCACAAGTTAACCTTGAACCCCTGACATTGACCAATGATACAAGTTAACCTTGAACCCCTGACATTGACCAATGCCACAAGTTAACCTTGAACCCCTGACATTGACCAATGATACAAGTTAACCTTGAACCCCTGACATGGACCAATGCCACTAGTTAACCTTGAACCCCTGACATTGACCAATGCCACAAGTTAACCTTGAACCCCTGACATTGACCAATGATACAAGTTAACCTTGAACCCCTGACATGGACCAATGCCACAAGTTAACCTTGAACCCCTGACATTGACCAATGCCACAAGTTAACCTTGAACCCCTGACATGGACCAATGCCACAAGTTAACCTTGAACCCCTGACATTGACTAATGCCACAAGTTAACCTTGAACCCTTGTTTTGTGTTTCACAAGAAGATAAAACAGAGAAAATTTCTAAATATAGTGTACTATCAACTATAGAAAATGTTGAAACAGATATTGTACTATCAACTTTAGAAGATGTTGAATGTTGAAAAACTCAATCAGTAAACGTTCTAGTGGTTTCATCGAGGAAAATCAGATAATAAGATGTCTTTGATACGATGTTATCTGGGATGTCTATGATAATATTTTATCTGTGATAACTCAAAAGATGTGTTTGCTACAGATGCTGTTGTTACCTGTTTGATATAGATGCTGTTGTTACCTGTTGGATAAAGATGATGATGTTGATGACGTTAGCGGCACAG